AAACATTACTTGGTCTTGGACAGAAAACATCCCCAGATCGTTCCCAGATCATGAATGTAGGCTAAATACTCAATATCTTTTAATTTTTGGTGAGCAATTCATTTAATCAACCTTTTGTAGAACTTTTCGTGGTCTTGAACATTGTTTAACTTTCCATGTTCTTGAAACAGTGTTTCGTACTGGTGTCATGATATTTTTGTTGGTGATACATGTAACATGTTATACCTCCTGTATCACGAAATATTGCTATTTTATCACTTGTGTTTAAAAGTTTAAAAGTTTGCACAGTAGAAATGTAAAACTCAACGTTATGAACATTCTTATCCAGACATGATTTATACTAAACATTACCTAAATACTAACACTCTTGATAATGTCTTTTTTCTTACAAAATGATCATTGTTTTGTTAAAAATTAAAAACAAAATAAATTAATGACTTTAAATGTCAAATCGTCAAAGTATTGTGTTCTGTCTTTCGCATTGCCCAAAACGAGACACTAAGGTATCCCATGCAATGGGCATTCACAGGTTCTACCTGTAACCTACTATGACCATTGCCACAGTGAATATTCCTAATAAACCCATATATCGTGATACAGTGTACGTGGCGATGTGCTTTCCAAATATGATATATGGGAATACATTTCTCAGCCATGATACACTTACTTATTTAATGCTCCAGTGATTCAAGATTGATACATTGTAAGAAATAATGTCTAGGTTATGTCATCCTGACATTGGGTGGCTTTTTAGGTCAATTAGTGTCTGCATTGGAAAATAGGGGTTTGAGTTTATAACAAATCGTGAAATATGGCATTTTGTTTACGTGAATATAGAAAAAACAGAGCTCTAGTTTTAAGAATATTGATATTTACACATGAATATATATTCTAACTATAAAGACAACTTTGTGCAATTTCACATTGTAATAATCAAAAAGACCAAAATTTGAAATATATATGTATGTCGAAGTCTTCGATGCAAATTAAATCTAAATTTTTGGCATGTGCATCACATTTATTTTGACAAGTAGTGTTCCAGAATGTTACATTGAGATATATAGGCACTAAAAAGGAGTTTGACTTGATTTAAGATGTTAACAGGCAGCGAATCGGTCATATAGGGACATCAAATACTGCTTTAAAATCTGCATAGTCACCCACTAATATATCGCAGGAAACCATTTCTACATGCTGCTTGGTCGTGATAATGTTTTGCAATACATCTGAAATAAACTCACTGTTGACTATTCGATATGTTAAGAACAGTACCTAGAACCGACTGGTAGGAAAAGACTTTTATTTTGACTTTACGGGCAGCGCAGTCTAATAAATTTATCTTTATAACAGACCGTGTTATTTTGCAAATAATCCGTTGATTATATGATAAAAATGAACGAGGAATTTCACTTCTAATTAGCTTTTAACTGTTGCATATCATCCAAATATAAAATGTTAACTAGTACAGACATTGTAGAGACCTTCACTATAGCGAGGTAATAATTTCTCTGTCGGGTATAGAAGCTTCACCTGAAGAGTGTGCTTCATCTTTAAGCTTGAAAAATACATTGTTTACATTAGCGCTGATCTCTAGGGGTTGTATTTATACTTCCTGTTTCTAATTAAGGGTAAAGTTGACATACTCTGAATTTAGTATACAATTTTCTTTACTTTTCACTTGGAATTGGCAAATATTTTTGCTATTATGTTTTATTTTTTCATATCGTGGCATTGAACTACTTTCTTGAGTTCGGTCATCATTTTCAACCCTTACTTTTAAATTTATTAGCACTGTACACATGCACAATCTATAACATTACATTTCAGTAAATATACTGTCATCCGACGCTGTATGTTAAAGAGGTACTCTTCCTATCATGAATATGGCAATACGTACCGTGACATTTAATGCAGATTCAATTTTCTGTTATCAATTTGGAATTGACATTTTCCCTCAGAACAGAAAGTGTATGATCTTTGATTAATAATTTTAAAAACAAAACGTTGTACTTTGCCTTGATTCTAGCACACTCTTCAAATCTTTGCATAACTGACACAAAACAAAAGAAACGGTCACAATACACTTAAGTTAACCTTCACTACATGTAGAGCTTTGTAACAAAACAATCATCCAATATTAAAAAAAACGTAATACAGAAAGTGATGACCGCTCGGCATTATGGAAGGTCAAATCTTGTTGATGTTTATGCCTACGGCAAGGCGCTACACTTCCGGTCTTGTTTTTTCCCTCAATGTTCTGAATTTTTGAAAAACTTCGAAAAAAAGGCTACAAAGCAAGTCAACCATGGACTATCGGTAAATAACGAAACGAAATATCACAGGTTTTAAAATGATCAATTCAATAGTATTGATAAACTTCATATCTATACTTTATGTTGAAGTCTTTATAGAAAGCGTCCTGTCCTGATTTGACCTATTTCGTTCCCCTGTTTCATGTCTCAAAACAATCACAATCTTAATATTTGTTTGTGTATGTCAATGTGGTATTCTGAAATCTACACTGGTAAAAATAAATGCGATGCACTTGCCCAAAATATAGAATTCGATTCTTGCAGAAAGTTTTTTTTTTAATCTCATTTTTGCACTTTCAACCATACAGCAGACGACAGTTTTAACAAGGAGGATTATAAAGCACAATTATGAAACAGAATGAACTCTGTAACTACATTTCTATTCTTCCCTTTTTCAACTTTATTCCTCATTCCGTTTTATGTAGAGACTGATTGAATCCTCAAGAACCCCAAATCATGGCAGTGCCTTGATCTTAGCATTGACGTGTCTCCAGATCGGTATCATAAAAAGCTAAAAAAAACTTATTTCCAATCCATTTGAAAAACAGATTTTTTAAAACTTTGTGTTAGTGTCCGCCTAAGGTCCCATTCAGTATCTAAAAGTACGTGATTTAAAGACGCATAGAGCGTCGTTGGGTCACATTCGTTTCCAGAAAAGTGGGACAATCGGATTAGCGTTGGCTGGATTACCAAGACTCGACTGTAGATGCATCATGGTATTGTTACGTGCAGTCGGCTTACGTTGAGTTAACTCCAGCGTAACCCTTACTTTACAATACAATTTATTTTTTGAATTTCAGTTTGTATATTGTCATATAGCATGTACGTTACTTTGTCAATTTTCAATGAATGCATTTATGTATTGTTCTGTTTGTGGATCTTCGATTCGGAGGAAATAAAGAGAATAATAACGTAGTTGAACAATACACCGTGCCGATTCTCCATTGACCTCGATATAGCTATCCACTACCGATTGACAAAAACAATTTCTTTGTAATTGCTGAAAATAATTTTGCGATGAATAGAAAATAAAACACAATTTTGTAAAATTAGTAAAAGAATGTTTTTGAAAAAAATATCGCGTTTCCATTAGTCCAGACAGTTATCAGTCATTGATTTTTATAGAAATAAAATAATTAAAATCCATTTAAAAAATAAAATTTTGAGAAAAAGTAAATGTAGCGTAAATCACATGGTCTGCCGTAAATACAATAGCTGACGTTAGATTTTATAAAACAAAAAAATAGGACTTGTATATTGTGGTTATGAGTATATTATGAAAATAAAAGTTATAAAAAGATTGGAATAGTGACAGAACTCAAAACAATATTTCTGTATCAATATCTAATTCCGTGAAGATATCAAGAAAAAAATATGATACTCCGGACAGAATATTTGTTAATCCCCAGAAAAAATGCTTAGTTGAATACTTAATTCAGATTTAGTGAACATAACCTCGAAGTAGCAATTATTGGAGAGAAAATTTGAACCCCGTGAGAATAGAGATTGTGGAAAAAGTGAATTGAATTCTAAAAAAAAATATTGTAGGAAAGTTTGAAGTAATTCCCAGAAAGTAAATTCAAATTAAGCCCTATTTTGTGACACAAAGCAAAATGCATTCAATAACACTTGTCTCTCTGATTTTTATGGGATACGACAGTTATAAGCAAATATTATCTTGAATGACGATTACAAGGTTATATACGGTAATTTGGTGACACAAGGGAGATAACTCTAATATGTTTACGTTCGGGTACCTGTTGTTGCACCCACGTCATTTGAACGGAAAGCTGCCGGTGACAGTGTAGCTAGTCTGTTATGTTCTCTCCGCTGTCGTGATAACAACGCCTAACAGCCATTTTGTGGTGTTTCGTCGGGTTGTGTGACATATACATGAGAAATGTGACTGAACACTTGATATGGGAAAAGACAGAATGCAAAACGGCTATGGTAGTGGCAGCGAGCCTGGCTCTCCAAATGGCCATCATCCCTTCCGCGAACATAAACAGGCGTCGCGACAAAGCTCCACAGAGCTCTTTGACTTGGCTTCCAAGGTAGGCTTATAATGCAGTGTCGGTACGGTTCACTGAATGTTCGTCATGGTTTAAGTTAGTGCAAGTTAGCTGTCATGGCCGTAAATATTGTTAAGTTCAATATATCCACATGTATTGTAATAATTTTATGAAGTAGGCCTACTCCGTGACTTTTCTTGAGCATGTTTACATAACCACAGTAGACCACGCAGGGGTCACTCTCAATAGGGAATTACATGTATCCCCGATACTATCACTGTCACGACTTTAAGTTTAATGACAGCTACACAGACATAAACTCCCCATCCCTATAATGATCGTGGCCCACCCATTCATCGAATTATAACCGTAACACGTACCACTGACATTAAAGAATTATAAAAAAAACCGTGTATGGCCATTTAAAAGTCATAATCTTAATTTATTCAGATGAATCAGGAGATAGAATTTTTATTAATAAGTGTTGATTTCTTTTGAATATTAACCTTAAGTGTATTCATAGAAAGACATTATAGATTAAAAAAACAACATTGACCAGGCCCAAATGGGGTATAATTCAGATTATTCTATCCACTTATAGTCGATTTATACAATTTTTTTCCTTGTGGTTTTATAAAATCCTGTTACGTACATTACACAGAATTAACTTAAAACTCCTCTCATTCGGTATAAAGTGACACGTCCTGAAAGACTGAGCTACACCTGTGTATAGTAAAAGTGTATAGTGATGTTTCCTCTCACATAACAATGACAAATGTTACCTCAGGCAGATGACTTAAAGATCTGGCATTGTCATATAACAATACCTACATACCTTGATACATGTGGATGTCTAGAGATTTACACAGAGATATTTAGACCCCACTAAAAAGGGTAGCACATGCTTGGGAAGGTGACCAGCATAGCGATGTAAAAATCACTTTTTGAAGGATGTACGTTCAGCAGTATTTACATAAAGTAGTGGACTCTGTAAAGGTAATGAGAAAAGTTATGTACTTTTCGTGTAAAAAGCCACTTTAAGTTCAAAATGTGTTGTTATATATTTAGAATGTAGCTGTAGTATAGATGATGTATTTATAGATTTAGATTATGCTGTATTGATTTATTTTTCTTAAATGTGTTTTTTGTGCATTTACAATTGTTATAATTTAAAATTTATATTCCCTTTTCAATAAATTCAATCTTAAATTGACTGCAGGAAATGAAGCTCATTCAATGTGTTTTTTTAAATTTGGACTTTCACCATACTTGTCCCCATTATGTTAACAGTTATATGCTTTTTTGGACATTGTATTTTATAATGAGATCATGTAATACATTGCATAACAATGTATTTTACCGTAAAAGACAGTGTGACCGGGCCACTCGAACAATACTGTATATATCGGATATCTCCTGTTTGAATTTTGGGGGTTTTCTACACGCATCATCTAAACCAGTAATTTCACTTACCAGATGCCTTGGGCAAGTAGATTTCATGAAATTTTTCAGTATTTACTTTGAAAATATAGGTGGACTTGAGGAATTTTTCAAAATCTGCCTGCAAGCTTTATGTACTCTAAATAGGAAATTGTACACCCTGGTACAAACATTATTATGTTGTGGTATTAGGGCAAAACAAAATGGACCTTTGAGTATTCTTGGGGAAGAAGTACCCCGATAATATTTTTTCTTTTTATAAAGCATCATTTTCTTGAGTTGTGATTGAAAACAATTGTTTATGATTACTGAGTGAGGTCCTATTACTAACTTAATTACAAACATAACTTACACATTCTGGAACATATGTATCCAGTGTTTATTTTACAATGGTGACAATGGAAAACATTCAAATGAAAGATCTAGAAGGATAGTTGAGGATCCCTGCCCCACTGCACTGTGTTTATTCCTTATAAACAGTAACCCTCCCCGAAACTTCCGCTTAGATATGGTTTGGCCATGGCCAGGACACTTTCGTTAACCAGGTACCTCAATCTGTGAGAGCGATAGTATAACAATCTGAAGTCTAGGGTTTGAATCCCGGTCTAGCCCCGCTGAATTTATACACACAGAACACTGTTGTTAATTATATTTTGTTTATTTCATCTTAAGTATTTCTCTTAAAAGCCTAACAAGGTACGTTTTTTCCCAGAAATGATTTATAGTAGAAAAAACAGTGTCCAATACTTAGTCCCAGGCTTTGGCAATGGTACAAGGATTCTTAAGATATTGTCATTTTTTTTATATTTACAAAATTTGTTTTATGGTCTCTTTTAATACACTGTAAATTTCACATCTTACATGAGCAACATTTCCTGTAGATCAGAATCATATTTCGTTGATGCTAATATTTATTTGATATTCTATGTTTCGCTTTTTTGACATTATTGATGTGTAGCACAACCCTAGAAAATCATATTTTTTTTACTAGATTTTCTTTCAGGTGTCTTTCACAGCCATACTAGTAATACATCATGTTTAACTGAATACCGTAAGTGAGCGACCGGGAGAACCTATGATATGATTATCATTGATGTTGTTTGTAGGTGATGTTGATAGGTGACAGTGGTGTTGGAAAAACATGTCTTCTTGTTCGATTTAAAGATGGTGCCTTTCTCTCGGGCAGTTTTATTTCAACAGTCGGTATAGACTTTAGGGTGAGTTCTATTTCATTTTTTAAAAATATTTCTATTTTCTCTTTTGTTTTCATTTTAACTACTGTTTTTATTTGTGGTGTTGGGTTTACTATAATATAATAATATTAAAAATGATAAAACAATGCAAGTCAGTGTTTTCACTAAGTTTTGAAATAGGTTGTTGACTTGAAAAGTATAAAGCAGGCTGAACGTTCGCCTGCAAAATGTTGACCTGTATTTATTCAGAATAACATAGCTGGTTCACAATTGATGAATAGGAGGCTACTTTTGCCAGCAACTAGCTTTTAACGAGAACACTAAGGTTAAACAGTTAGGAAATATTGTATATATATATATATGTGTGTCCACTTTGTCCATATTCAGGATCTAAATAAGAGTAGTATAGAACCTGATTGGTCTGGACATAAGATCATTTGTTATCTTTGACCTTGTGAAAGGTCATGTTTAGTGTCTGTGAGAATGATTTTGATAAGGGTTATTCTTGGCTGTATGAAATTAAAGACTGTTAATCGATGTCAATGAAGGAGTGTTTGTCAGTATGAAGGAAGCCTGGTAATGGTGAGGGAATTCTTGTCACTGTAACAGAAACCTTGTCACTAAAACGGAATCCTTGTCACTTTAACGGAATCCTTGTCATTGTAACGGAATCCTTGTCATTGTAAGGTAATCCTTGTCACTGTAAGGGAATTCTTGTCACTGTAACGGATCCTTGTCACTGTAACGGATCCTTGTCATTGTAAGGGAATCCTTGTCACTGCAAGGGAATCTTTGTCACTGTAACAGAATCCTTGTCATTGTAAGGGAATCCTTGTCACTGCAGGGGAATCTTTGTCACTGTGAGGGAATCTTTGTCACTGTGAGGAAAATCCTTGTCACTGTAACGGAATTCTTGTCATTGTAACGGAATCCTTGTCACTGTAAGGGAATCTTTGTCACTGTGAGGAAAATCCTTGTCACTGTAACGGAATTCTTGTCATTGTAACGGAATCCTTGTCATTGTAAGGGAATCCTTGTCACTGTGAGGGAATCCTTGTCACTGTAATGTAATCCTTGTCGCTGTAAGGGAATCCTTGTCACTGTAACAGAATCCTTATCAATGTAAGGGATCCTTGTCACTGTAACAGAATCCTTGTCACTGTAACGGAATCCTTGTCATTGTAAGGGAATCCTTGTCACTGCAAGGGAATCTTTGTCACTGTGAGGGAATCTTTGTCACTGTGAGGAAAATCCTTGTCACTGTAACGGAATTCTTGTCATTGTAACGGAATCCTTGTCACTGTAAGGGAATCTTTGTCACTGTGAGGAAAATCCTTGTCACTGTAACGGAATTCTTGTCATTGTAACGGAATCCTTGTCATTGTAAGGGAATCCTTGTCACTGTAAGGGAATCCTTGTCACTGTAATGTAATCCTTGTCGCTGTAAGGGAATCCTTGTCACTGTAACAGAATCCTTATCAATGTAAGGGATCCTTGTCACTGTAACAGAATCCTTGTCACTGTAACGGAATCCTTGTCATTGTAAGGGAATCCTTGTCACTGCAAGGGAATCTTTGTCACTGTGAGGGAATCTTTGTCACTGTGAGGAAAATCCTTGTCACTGTAACGGAATTCTTGTCATTGTAACGGAATCCTTGTCACTGTAAGGGAATCTTTGTCACTGTGAGGAAAATCCTTGTCACTGTAACGGAATTCTTGTCATTGTAACGGAATCCTTGTCATTGTTAGGGAATCCTTGTCACTGTAAGGGAATCCTTGTCACTGTAATGTAATCCTTGTCGCTGTAAGGGAATCCTTGTCACTGTAACAGAATCCTTGTCACTGTAACGGAATCCTTGTCATTGTAAGGGAATCCTTGTCGCTGTACAGGAATCCTTGTCACTGTAACAGAATCCTTGTCACTGTAACGGAATCCTTGTCACTGTAACAGAATCCTTGTCACTGTAACGAAATCCTTGTCACTGTAATGGAATCCTTGTCACTGTAACGGAATCCTTGTCACTGTAACAGAATCCTTGTCATTGTAAGGGAATTCTTGTCACTGTAACGGAATCCTTGTTTCTGTAACAGAATCCTTGTCACTGTAACGGAATCCTTGTCACTGTCACAAAATTCTTGTCTCTGTAACAGAATCCTTGTCATTGTAAGAGAATCCTTGTCAATGTGAGGAAAATTCTTGTCGCTGTAACAGAATCCTTGTCATTGTAAGGGAATTCTTGTCAATATAAGGGATCCTTGTCACTGTAAGGGGTGTATGATGGAGGGGATCTCACACTGGAGGGGGAAGATTCTTAAGTTATTAGCACCAAACCCAACACTATAACTCAGAGGGAGATCCCTCACTTCACCCTTTAGGGGGAAGGTTTCTTTTTATTTAATATTGATGTTATGTTTATGCATAAATATTGATGTTTTGCTTATGCATTTTTGCATGCAGTTGTTATGACTGGAAACTCCCTTTGTCTCAATCCTAGGGTTTAATTGGGATTTGCAATGGAGGTTTTGTCACCATGAGGGACACCTGTCAATGTGAAAGGACCCTTGAATAGCCCCATCATCTGTGGACAGTGGTCATATGACCTTAGTTGTTGTGTAGACATTAAAACCAAATCAATCAATGTATCTCCCAAGAATATGAGAGAAAATCCCTATTTCTGATCCCATCCTAATAGATCTAGAATGTTGATGATGAAAAGATATGGCAAGATTGGATGTGTGTCAGTAGATTAACTTTATACACAAGCTGGAATATTTATGATTCTGACAAGTCGGACGTTTCTCTATGGAACAAGCAGATACAGTAGAGCAAGGTTCCCAGCAACAGTGATAATATGAAACGATTGCATTTTGGGAGTAATGAAAAAATACTCTCGAGATTACAGTGGCTTTAAAATAGCCACCAGTTATACTGTAAGGTAAATACTCTGTTCAATAATTCGGATTCTCCTGTCAGATTAATCAACATTCATGAACGATTAAATTGTTTACATCTGTTTTTTAATTTCAATATTTTAGTTCACTGTAAAATGCAACAGTCCATCAAATAAAAGATCAGAGATACCTGTTAAATATGTAGACATTATATTACTGTGGAAATGTCTATTTCACTTGCTTATTGCCATCGTATCAACTATATGTATTGCTGTATATGTACTGGCATACCTTGTCAAGTTGCACATGGAATTTTTGTCCATCACACCTTGTCAATATGTAAACATTTGTATGTATTATATATACAAGTATATATGGAGCGTAATAGGTCATTAATGCTTGTCACCTGTATGTAACAAGTATAACACAATGCTAATGGACTTCTGTGACGGTAGTATACCATCTGTACAATAACAAATATCCACATACGGTTATGCTATATTTGGAATATTTTCTTCAGTCTTGTGAACTTGGATTAATAGAGAAGTGCACTGGGGTTAACACCATAGTGAACTTAAGTTAATGCTTTACTGCACTGAAGTGAACACTGTAGTGTACTGGGATTAGCATTATAGTAAAAAGGTGTTAATACAGTAGTGCACTGGAGTTAACACCAAAATGAAATAAAGTTAACGTGGTAGTGCACTTGAGTTAACACCATAGTGCGGTGGGGTTAACACCAGGGTGAACTGGAGTTACCCGCAGTGCACTGGAGTAAACACCACAGTAAACAAGAGTTAATACAGTAGTGCACTAGAGTTAACACCATAGTGTACTGGGGTTAACATTGCTGATGTGTACTTGAGTTAGCACTGTAGTGAACTGGACTTTTCGACATATTGTACTGGGGTTAATGCTGTAGTGTACCTGGGTACTGGAGTTTATACTGTAGTGCACTTGAGTTCATAATGTACTGGGGTTTTCACCATATCAAACTAGCTTTAGCACTAATGTACTAGAGGAGACATCACTGTAGTGTATTAGAGTTAACACTGTAGTGAACTGGAGTGCACTTCAGTGTTTTGTCTGGTGCATAGGGAGTGAGAACCTTGTTCACTACATGTGAACTATAAAGTGCACACGACATCAGTGGCTCCCAACTGTACTTAATACACCAGGATATCCGGTACTGTAATTGTATGATACAGGTAGACTGTAATTATACCATACAGCAGGTGTGGTATTGATCATTATTTTAACCTAGCTGTGTCTCCTGTATTATATATTTCATATCTATGTATCTACTCTTTGTTGTTGTTCATTCTTTCTTTGACTGGTAGATTACAATGATACGAGAAAATTGATGTTTGTACAAGCTTTTTTTTAGTGCCCATTAGTTGTAATTTGAGAAAAAAAAATGAAATATTGTTTATATGACTTGGAAGAGTAGGGCGTGTTAAAAACTGAATATTTATTGAGTAATTTCAAAAACGTGAGCTGATGAGAGAAGTTGAATACACAGTGAATATTTGTCATCATTTGTTAGTTTGGAAGGACTTTTCCTTCAAAATAATGACAATAGTACACTGCTAATTATGTTAAAACAAGACTCCAACTCCCTAATGATTGCTGGATGTTTTCATACAAGAGTGCATTGTCATTGTCCCGGCAAGATGTTACCACAGAGTGTACATGTACTATGGTTTTACGTGCATCTTTGGTGTTGAATTGATAAAAATAGGACATAAAATGTAGATCTTCAACTGTAGATCTTGAGTTTCATGTTCTTCAGGTGAACAGGATTGAATACAATTGAAAACAATGAGCTCTTTCTCATCTTGATTTAGATTTGTGGAAGACCTCTGACCTGACACTGGCATCAATATCTACCAGTGCCAGGTTTCTCACATATTGTTTGTTACTTCAGTTTGGGCATTAAGTGTTAATTGGCACATGACATTTATTCAAGAGTCGTGTCTTTTTGTCTAAATGTCACATGACATTTGTCCTGATGTTTCAAGACATTTGACCAGTGTCACATCTTCAAACCACTTGACATTTGTTTTGATGTCATATGACTTTTTCCACTGTATTGCATATTAATGTCCGACAACATTTTATTTTGATGTCAAATGTCACAAAATATTTTGTCTTAGTGAAACTTGACCATTGTCATATGTTATCTATTTTGTCTTTATGTCATATGACTTGTCTTTGTGCCATATGGCTTGTGTCATATGACTGTTGTGTCATATTACTTGTTGTGTCATGTGAGTTGTCTGTGTTATATGACTTTTCTTTGTGCCATATGGCTTGTGTCATATGACTTGTTGTGTCATGTGACTTTTCTTTGTGCCATATGGCTTGTGTCATATGACTTGTTGTGTCATGTGACTTGTTGTGTCATGTGACTTGTGTTGTGTCATATGACAATTGTCCTAGGTCCATGACATTTGTCTCGGTGAATCCTGACTTTTCAAATGTTTAATGTCAGCATAATGTTTGTGTAAATGTTACATGAAATAAACCATACTGTTATATGGATGGATATTTTTGTGACATCGTTTGATGACATGTTGACTTTAAAACATTTCACAGCAATACATCCCGTAATGACCGAGCTGATATATGGTCTGTATACCAACAGACTGCTACAACAAACAATTTTGTCATATATCACCAGAATCAGTGTATATTTCTATAGAGACCTGGTATGTCATTCACGGTTTTTGTGAGTCATAATTCCCAGGGAACAATTACCATATTCATACATTTAAATGCTTAGGAAATGAAATAATTGCATAAAAATTCAGATGATAATGACGAAACATTTATCTGTGGACTTGAATCCAATTATGTACGTACCAGTTAGATGTGATTTATTGTACGTGTCCTTTGTCATATATATCTGATATGAATACTACAAAATGTCATAAAAAATAGTAATCTGAAAATAGCACCACATGTGATTTGCCTATGCATTGTGTATCAATATCGGAATATAATTCTCACAAAAAATTCCCAACCTGTATGATAACCACGTGCACCAGCTCCAGTGAGGAACAGATTTGCGTTATACCGCATGTGGTATAAAGTCTGGAACTGTTCAGTTTAACCTGGAGTGATTTTGGCCTCACAATTCAAAGGCGATTTGATTGTGACATCCAGGCCTTTTACCATATTTATCATTCAATAACCCTGGTGGACCAACACATCAAGCCTTATTTATAGTAGGAGATGGGCTTAGACTTATTTATAGTAGGAGATGGGCTTAGACTTATTTATAGTAGGAGATGGGCTTAGACTTATTTATAGTAGGAGATGGGCTTAGACTTATTTATAGTAGGAGATGGGCTTAGACTTATTTATAGTAGGAGATGGGCTTAGACTTATTTATAGTAGGAGATGGGCTTAGACTTATTTATAGTAGGAGATGGGCTTAGACTTATTTATTGTAGGAGATGGGCTTATTACATTCAATGAAATAGCATTTGTTAGCATTTCTACTGAGCTGTATTTGACAAATTGACATGGGTGGGCCTATTACCAGGCATGGGCTTATTGTCAGATAAGTGTGATACAAGATCATTTTGCCTGAGTACCCAGTAATTCCTGTATATATCTTCCTCATTTTATTGCCAAATCCCACTTACACCCAACTTCAATGGGAAATGGTTGCAATATTTCGAGGTTTCAACTGCACTCAAACATATTTACTGCAAACAGGCTGATTGTGAATAATTTCTTTGTTTCCCTCTGGTAAAGAATTGTCTCCAGAACACAAATTTCTTTAACATATTATGTCTAAAGCTAACTTATTTCTTATGTCTCCTGGGTTTAGGAAATTGTCATAAATGTGTGTTACAGTATAATGGGACATTAGATGTCTATATTAAAGCTAAGTTTGTTTTTAACACAAACAGGAATTGAACATTTGTTTTGCGAGTCTATGGATTGTATGTTATATAACAAGAAGAACTGTGTTGTAATATTAGGTTTTTGTCCTTAAATCTCTCAAGAATAATTGCTGTACATATCAGTGACATTAAACAGAGCCTCTAGGACCTTGTACAAAATCATACAAACCCAAGCGAAAAAACAGTAGAAACTAATTAAATGTGTGTGGTATGATATACGATGTTTATTGAAAACATTTTGATTGAACTCATCAACTAATCTCTCTTTATTTTTTTCTTTACAGAATAAAGTTGTTGATGTTGATGGTACAAAGGTGAAATTACAGGTAAGTGTGTCCTGAATTTAGATCACTTGATGCAGCTACCGACTCGTACATGTAGATTAAGCAGTGGAGATCTATCTATATACAGTGTATATATGCCATGTATTCAGGGAGGAGGCATATAAAGCGCTCAGCATCCTTTTGTCCAGTGCTGACATTTTCTTTAAAATATATTTTTCTTAGGGAATGATTATGTATGGGCTGAAACTTGATTTTATTAAGGGAGACAATTTATAGGTCATCTGAGACAAAGTGTTATGTGACCTATTGTGATCGCCTTTTTTCCGTCGTGATGTATTGTATAAGTCCTCTTTATGGATGGAAATGTCCTGGTGTGTTTTATCAAAATTGTGAATTTCATTTTTGTGTTGATGGCCAGATGCACATGATACTTTGATTCTTCATTCAGTTATAAACCTGCAAAACAAGTCGTTTCTCAGATGTATTGTGTTAATGTCAAATGTCAACTTTTATGTTCCATTCAGAGAAATAAACACATAAAGATTTCATAGTAACCCTTTTTACTGTCAATTCATACCAGCATATTGTTGACTGCGCCAACTATCTTTTTGAACTTTTGAAACTGATGCTTTTGTTATCTAATCTCCAATCCCTGTCGGCAACCTCACCCTCCCGTTTCATCAATACACTATCATGGTTGGGATAGTTTTTTTCTGTTAGGATAAATAGATAATTTATTCTACATCACGTATGAGAAAAAGTAGTAGTAGTAGTAGGTGTGTGATTGTGAAGTAACAGCACGGCCATTGTTGTAGACTGCCAGCCTCCGTATACATTGGTCACAGCTGAGGATCGGTCCGTCACAGCTGGGCTTACCCAGGGCCATGTGAATGGTGGTATAATCTGTACCTTCACTTAGCATCCCTTATGTACAGCAGGCCTAAGCTATTACACATACATTATATGCCCATTAGGGTTTAAACAGTATCTGTAGCTAATTACTAATCTGATATCTGGTAATGAAACATGTTCAATAATGACTGAGTGACAAAATAGGATTGTGTCCTTTTTCAATTAAAGTCATGACATAGGTGTTTTATAATAAAGGTTCCTTGACTTGATTTTCATTCCCATTTAATTTGAATGGTTTCACGTTTTTGAAAGTTCACCCTCCCGAAGAGCAAGCCACCATTACTTTTTCTTCATACATTTTCTTGCATAACCTAGAGGCATGGATTGAGTAATCATGCTCACCCATCTGTCTCCTGCCTGACCCCAACTTTGATTCTGCTCAATAACTTGAGATCTGTCTGTGGGCCAAAAACTACTCAAACCTCATGGAGTGTATTTTTCACTGAAATGGCTTGCATTTGATTACCTTTGAAGTCCAAAGGTCAAAAGTCAAGGTCACTACTGAGTTTCAACTTCATATACTGCTTTCTTATGAAAAGTGGTTGCTTCTGTTTTTCAGATTGAAAGGTCAAAGGTCAAGGTTACTGGTACAATAAACAGAAAATAAGCTTCCATGTAGTTATAAAGTCATATTCTCATTGTCTGATGAAAACTATTTATACATCTGTAATGCTTCCTTGAAGTGCAGGCTGGGGATTACATTTCAGGTCCAAGGTCAAATGTCAAGGACTAAGGTCACTGTTGCTTTACATAGAAAATTGGATCCCATGCAATGACCTGTTTCTGTTGGCCTGTAATACTCAGTCTTTATATTTTGGGATTACTTTTCTGGTCCAAACGTTGCCGTCACCATAAATAGAAAATTTCTCAAGTTTCCGTTGGCTGAAACACTCAAACTTCATACACTACTACTTTATGGAGAGTACTTGCCTGGGATTTCTTTTCAGTTCTAAATTTCAATGCTGAAGGTTACTGTTACAAAACATTACATTCTGCGCCACACCAATACTTTGGTATCACAAACCAAACCATGTCTTCCCTCGACCTTACACTGAGAGGATAAGTATTGCTTGTTGTTACTATGTTACAAAGTTGTTGTAAAAGTCTTGCACAGAAACTTTATTATACAACATTCAGAATTTCACTCAAAGGTCCTTTTTTTTATGATAATGTTCTGCTTTTTTGAAAAATATCAAAATATTCACCCCACATATGAATACCAGTTTTTCATCAAGAAATCAGGTCTATCCTCCATATATTGATATGCCTCAATTGAGATGCTATGTTTTAGTACAAATTTACCTAATTACCAAGACTACCACTGTCTGTACATGTCACTCCGCGTGGAAAGTGCCCCACAGCTGTATAGATACTGTCAGTACAGTGTTTCATGTTGTGTACAAATGTACATTCACTTAGCTCTTTAAACCTCAGTATTCCTATATAGAATCGAAACAGTGAGAAATTTTGTACTCAATGGTAAATAAACGATTTTAAATCTTAGCTGAATTGTGTAAATGGCCAGAAGCTATGATTCTTTTGTTGAATTTTAGTCTTCCTAAACTTGATTTGTGTGAAACGAAATAGTGATTGCGCAAGAGATTAGAAAGAACTTGAGATCCTGTTAAACGACTTACGTGACAGTGCTATAAATGTGATTGACTCGTGAATTACCATAGAAGGTGTTAACTACGTAACAACCCCAGAATCAATATATGACCGAAATGATTTTCTGATCCAGATGTTTAAGGGTCCTCGTACCACTGCCAAAGACTAAATAATAATATATAACATTTGATATAGCGCCCTACCTAGCTAGAACAAGCCAGTCTAACTCATTCACCCCTGAAGACACATTTGAACCTTTCCAATTCAAAAGTTGGAATAGTCCACTATGAAATTTCAGGGGTGAAAGAGCTAAAGCGCTTAACAGTGCATAGATATACAATTTATGCAATCAATACAATTGACAGATAAATTAATCAATATTGAGGAATTTGCAGGAGCTGCCTAATTAGGTGCTAATTACTAGTCCTATACCACCTGCTGAATGTCTCCCTTTGCGTGTATGCCTGCATGTGTACTGGAGATGTTTTATCCATTTGAAATAATTTTTCCAGTGTGGCTATTCATATAGATCATATGTTTCGGGACTTTGATGAAAATATAATAAAGATGAAATTTTAAAAAATATAATGAATAACGATGTTGTGGGAAACAATTTAGTGGGTCTAGACCAGGATTCGAACCCAGGACCTCAGATCATTAAACTGTTGCTCTTACCAACAGTGCTACCTTCTAAACGGATGTCTTCTGGCCCAGTTGCTCTAGTTATAAACAAAACAAAATCAAGAGGAGTTTATTGTATATTCATTAAAAAAAGTGAAATTCTCAAATTAATGTTTTGCGTGCAGAGGGACAGGAATCCTTGAGGTAACAGTGCCTGGGATTTTATCTTACTTATAATTCTGTTGATACACTAGTGATATATGTGTATGATACACTAGTGATATATTTGTATGATACACTAGTGATATATTTGTATGATACACTAGTGACATATTTGTATGATACACTAGTGATATATTTGTACGAAACACTAGTGATATATTTTTATGATACACTAGTGATATATTTGTATGATACACTAGTGATATATTTTTATGATACAATAGTGATTTATTTGTATGAAACACTAGTGATATATTTGTATGATACAATAGTGATATATTTGTATGATACACTAGTGATATATTTGTATGATACACTAGTGACATATTTGTATGATACAATAGTGATATATTTGTACGATACACTAATGACATATTTGTATGATACACTAGTGATATATTTGTACGATACACTAGTGACATATTTGTATGATACAATAGTGATATATTTGTACGATACAATAGTGATATATTTGTATGAAACACTAGTGATGTATTTGTATGATACACTAGTGATATATTTGTACGATACACTAGTGATATATTTGTATGATACACTAGTGATATACGATACACTAGTGATATATTTGTAGTCCAGTTTGAGTCAATATTGCTATGTGTCGTCTAAGGTCTCAATATCCTGTGTTTGATCGAATATTTTCTTGTTTATAGATAAGAAATAACCTGTCATAAATTAATAGAAAATGTAGAATTACTTGATGTACATTCAACACAACATCCACCAATAATATCATAAACTCTAACGCTGACTTGTAACCTCAAGGAGATTGCTGAAATGGTCAAATTTGTTAAATATTTGTTTGGTATCTTATTAATGAAATCTCAAGTAAGGATAGTCCCCAGGACATGAAGTTGGCTGTTTACACTTGACTTAGCGTGAAAAGCTGTGCTGATCCTTAGTTTTACCTGTACAGGTACATCCAATTATAGCCACCTACACACCAGTAAGAGCTTGCGGATCACATCCAATACCTGTAAAATAGCGATTTAAATGTCACATTTCTTAGTATACTAGGTATTTTACACCCGAGTAGCGGCTTAATATAGCTGTGTATCTTAGTATATATAGACACAACTTCCCTAGTCTATGTTCAAGTGTTGGCTCATACACCTGAACATAGCATTTAAAAAAGCATAATTTCTTTTCTTAATTTAACACCTTTCATGAAAACTTCTTCAAAAGATTTTCTTGTAAACGCCTTTCTTGAAAACTTCTTTAGCAGATTTTGTTAAATCAGATTGGTATTTTACTGGATAGACTTTAATTTATTATAGTGTAATTGATTCTAATATATAGACATACATATTTAGAGGTTTGTTTTTATAACGTATTAACTGCCTTATAAATAAGTACCATTTGTGCTGACTGGCAAAAAATTTGATGTAACAAATAATTTGTTCGTTTCCATAATAAGGTTCTTTATAAAGGAAAATAAATGCTGGATATAGAAAATTAGTAAATAACTTTAGACACTTTTTTCTTACATGGATATATATGAAATTTTCAATTTCTTTAATTAACCTTTAGCTTACAGCTCATCAGTACATTAGTCCGAATTATTCTGACGTTTTATCGACTTTTTTCATATCGGTCTGTCGTCGATTAACGACGATGTATCGCCCCACTGTTCCTTGATGGAATGACAAGATATTGGACAAAATTCTCAGGAGGAAAATGTGTTTCTGTACTAAAACAAACCTGCCCTTGTAGACAATTGCTTTAATCTGTTATAAAAAAAAGAAATTGTCTGTGACACTGCCCCCTCACAGGACTGCCATCAACTACTCCCCCGTACATTAATATTGATCACGAGTCATTACAACATTTTCTAAATAATTGCTAATTACTTACACTGACATGAAACCTCATCTTTTACTTGGAAGTCTTTGCTTGTCATCAGCGGTGACATTTTACCATCAGTAAACATGTGGGCCGCAAGCCATTACATTACCGACAAAGTCATGGAGCAATGACAAAGGAAATAGAACAAAAGTACATGTGAGTGAGGGCTGATATTTGTACAGGAAAATGATTTATAAAGCTTCAGGAAAGTGGATCTACTGATTTCTTTATTTTTATATTCACATCAGCGTGCCTTAATGCTCCCTGTCCCACTGCTCCTGTGTTTTTTCTCTATATACAATAACCTTCCCTTAACTTCCATTAGAATATATAATTACTGTAGCACAGTAGGACCAGAAAAGTGTAACCCCTCTCAAAATGTAGGCAAGCTCCGACAGACACGCCTACCCTGTCACCAGGCTACAGACATATTGAAGTTAGATGTATTGGGGCGGGGGACATCAGAAAATCCTCCTCTTCCTATTGTGCTGTTGTTAGATATATTTTATTTCACGATTTCACGATTTCATGGAAACTGTTTAATCTAGACGAAATATGTTCCAGTTTAATGATCTTTTAATAGGACACCAGGACTCCTTATCGCCGTAAGGATTTTAGAGGTTTCACTATGCAGTGTGTACAGTCTTGATGTCAAATCGATTTAAGTATAAACGCAGAACAATATACGTGTTTGGGGAAATCTCTGGTGTGTATGGTTACTATATGTAAGGTACTGATAACAAATATTTCACCAGTACCAACAGAATACTGTCAGGCTGTTATCCCTAACTGTGCTGTTCTGTTTTCAGATTTGGGACACAGCAGGACAGGAACGTTTTCGAAGTATAACACGAGCTTACTATCGTGATGCTAATGGTATGTCACCATGGCCACTGTTTTCAACTAATCACCTGTACATAATGGACAACTGATTTAAGTCTGACCTATTCAATTAGATTTCTGCATAATCTGAAATACTACTGAAATGTTAAGAACAATTCAAAACTTGTTCCCAACAGTGTTTGTCTTTGACAGTTAACACTGCATCATTACAAAGAGCCAGCTTAACTCAGATGTCCATTATACGAGGTGTATGCTTGATTTGTATGACCTACTTTGCTGATGACCTTGACATTTGTTGTTACAGATTTGGGACACAGCAGGACAGGAAAGGTTCCGAAGTGTAACACATGCGTATTACAGGGACGCCCACGGTACCATATTTACTGCTCTGCTATGTCTAGTGCTGTGCTCACCTGTCGTCTAGTCTCCCACTAACCACTTACATGTTGTGTCATTTACAGCTTCAGCAGCTGTGACTCCCGTCACTTTGGTTTTTACAAATGTTTATTTATACTTCCAATTTCAAGTAACATTTCGATCTTTTACTAATCTTTATTTAATGTTGTGTTTGAAAATTTCCCTTGAGTGTTGATTTTTTGTGTGTAATGTACAGTTTGCATGTATGAATTCAGTCACCATTTTTTCGTAAAATTGTGGGAACATTCTGTGATCAAAAAGAGGCAGTTGCACACTGTTACTCATTAGTGTCATACAAATGATTTGCTACATCTTGCTTTTTTGCTCTAGTTCAATTAATCTATGTGCAACTTATAATGGCTTTTAACGCTAATGTTTGTGAGGTGAGAGTTATTGTGTGTAGTTTTTGCAAGTGTTTCTTGATTTTCCAGTTTGATTTCTCCCCCTTAAACAATTTGAAAAGTTGGCAAACTTGATTTTTGAACTTCTTTAGAAGTATCCCCCTTGGTTTGGGGGGGGGGG